AATTTCTGCATAAAAATGACCTAAATCATCATCAGATTTTCACACAAGTCCTAAACATAGATAAAGAGAACCCAGTTAACCAAATGAAACAAAAAATATTATATTTGATGTAGAGGGATATGGGGCTGGATATATATTGTTGATTATCAGTTATGAGTTAAGCTCATAAGATATGCATGTATTATGCAAATAACCTCATTGTGTGGGCATCACCTCTCTTTGAGAGGAAAAATCTGTCTCTATTTAACCCCAAATTAATGTAAACTGAAACGTGAGTTCTGAAACGTGAGTTCTTTTCTCGTGTTTAAAGGGCATCAAATCAGTTAATACACACGGATATGCCAAAATAATCACAAATTCAGTTGATTTTATGTATTTTATTATAAAAATAATAATCTGTGATATATGTGATGAAAAATATGCATTACAAAAGTTAATTGAACATCAACTAGCTTTGCATCAAAGGTCCAATTGATTAGGAAACTTAAAAGGCAGATTTTAGATTGGTTCCTGTGTGTGAAGTGGTTAAAATTTGTGTCTAAGGTGAGCGATAGTTTGTCTGACAAGATTATTGTGATATAGGGTCACCAGAAAGGCATTAAAAGTCTTTGTCCTACCAGGATGAGATGTCAGAATGGTCTGACAGCTGCTTAAAATGGTACCAGCCCAGATGTTCCAGTTAACTTTTGAGGCTGAAGTCTCCTCAAAGTTCACCTGTCATCTTAGAGGGATAAGGGTCCATATGGGAGTCAGCTGGGATTTACCACTCCTCTGCGTTGGGATTCTGGAGCCCTGGGTTCTGGTGACAGTTAAATGCTGGGTTCTGTGAACTCCATCTTTTCTTTTGAGACGTCTGCAGAAAGGTTCTTCTCCTCAATTCGCTTTCTTCCTAGGATGTCTCTCTAGGAGGATGCGTCTTTCTCTGAAGTTTGCTCAAAGTCCAGTGAAGTGTGTGGTGGAAGAAGTCATAGAAGTAGAAGTGAAACTTAACTGTCTGTGTGTTACAGATTGACGTCGGTCCACCTGAGGAGGGGGTGGTCCTAACTCATTGTCATGTTTCTTTTTATAAAGGCCTATTAAATAAATCTAGTCCTTTTTCTCTCTCTGCCTTAAAAGTTTTACTTTTAAAAGAGAAAAATAAGACAAATGATTATCTTAAAGAGAGATTCCTTAAAACACACATTTTCATGAATAAACATTCAGGTATGAAATATTTTGAAATGACATCTTGGAATTAACAACATGCAATGTTTCACCAAAAGGTATCGCTGTCCATCTCCTGAAAAGGAAATGTCATTAAACAAAGGGTTCTTTAATGTGTTATCTTCATGGGAACGAGTTCTGGGAGGAATACTCCTTTTTGATTAAGGTGAAATTTCAACGTAGCAAGTTCGGATGTTTCAAAACTTCGAGGTCAGTTGAACCAAAGGTCTCATTAAACGATCTGACTGTTTCATGGGAATTCTGGGAGGAATACTCCTTTTTGATTAAGGTGAAATCTCAACGTAGCAAGTTCGGATGGTTCAAAACTTCGAGGTCAGTTGAACCAAAAGTCTCATTAAACGATCTGACTGTTTCATGGGAATTGAGTTCATAGTGACAGTTTTCTTTTTTTTTTAATTACATTTACATTAGTTCATCTGAGAAGTTTGTGAGCTGAGTTGAACACCTGCAAAACAATGTCTGTTTGTTCCCAAGGGAATAGATGAATCTTATTTTACCAGTTTCAAACACAAAAACACATAAATGATGTTTGTTTGAGATGAGGTGAACTGTTTTTCTGAGATGAGGTGTTCTTTTTCTGAGGTGGTGTTCCCTTACAATATATATATATATATATACACACACACACACACACACACACACACACACACACACACACACACA